AAGAAACATACGATCTTGAACACATTTGTCCACATCACTAGATACTTTAGACGCCCGATGAAGTAAACACGTGCACTTCTCTGCAATATGGATCTTAGAGTAAACGACGTGTATCAAAGGCACGAAGCATTTCCTTGCACAACAAAGGAGCTGCACTTCCTTCTAACAAAACATAAAACAATAGATTAGTGTTTGTAAGCCAAAGTTGAAGGAACTCAATGAATATCAACAAAAAAAAAAGTAATTTTTAGTCTTTCTAGGACAAGTGCAGAGCAAACAACTATTCATATGTTACTTGAGGGTTCCTTTTAGCTAATGTCAGAGCAATCAAACAAACCCAATTGAAACATTAACTCCAAATCTTTCCAGTATCCATTATAAGTAACACGAAATTCCATTAATCAAACAAAAGGGGCAACACCAAAATACAAAATTATCACTTTGCATTATAGTAAGACCAGTTCAACCCTAAAAAAAGGTCTTCATAATTACAAATCCCAAAAAGTCGAAAGAACCAAAAAGCCCCAAATTCAGTTCAAAAACGAACACGTATGACATATATATACATCGAAAGCACAGAAAAGAAGTAAATTCGATTAAACGAAGAAACACAACACAACCGAAAAGCAGCGAGTAGAACAGAGAGATACATACATAGAATCAGATCTGATGAAGGCGATGTAAATGTTAATTGTGAGAACTGAGAAGCACCGTAGTAAGCAAATAGCAGAATGAACGCCCAAAATACTCCGGCGGCTGCTTCTAGCCCCTTAATATACAAAAAAAAAAAAATACAAAGTTGAATGTAAATAATTACTATTAATGGAAATTTTATAATTTGTCTGATTCACTTAAATTTGAATAAATTCATGTTTTAATAATGAATTTGTAAGATTATCTTTAATTCTTTGAGATATATTGATTGACATTTTTCGATCGAACGAGTTAGATTATCAAATGATTAAATTTGAAAAAATATCTATTATTTTAAGTTTGAATGTCTTCTAAGATAATAATTACTACAATATTGATGATTTAGATCTGTTTTTGTAATTGAAAGTAAATACGAAATATTTTATATAAATAAAGTAGAATAAATTATTTAATATTGTAATAAATCAACTAAAAGATTTGCAAAATAGAGATTTGCTACCAGAAAATTTCACAAATGTAATCTTTAGAAGATAGAAATGATGAACCTCTTTTAAAAATCAGAAGTAAGGTTTGAGATTTGCGAGGTAGAGACCTATCGTCTTTCGTCTCAGAGAGAATAACAATCAGGATTTTCATTGGTACTTTCAAATTTATCTAAATATCTCTATTGAGTCTGCAGTTTCATAGGCAACTAATAACGCTTAAAATTACTTATCATTAATTATCATATAGGTAATTCCATAAATTTATCTATACAACTGTGTTTTGAAAATTGACGATTAAAATCAAGATTGTTTATTTCAGAACTAGAAAATTAACTACTTCTTCGTAGATTTACTTCTCAATATTCTCACTCTTCTTGATTTTTTCATGAAGTTATTTCTTTATAAGCTAATAGGTTTATCTATCTAGAGTACAAGATTCAATCATATTTATTAGAGATAACAAACAATTAGTAAAAATATAATATACTCTTTTCTACAATTTCTTGTAATATGAATAAAAATTGTAGTTTATATCATGAAGGATAAAGAAATACCGTTTATACATCCAAATAAAATTTGATGTTCTCATAAGGACGTCACTAAAGGCTTTCGATAAATTGAAATTTGATCATGAAAGGATCAAATTAAATCCGAAGAATGAAAGAAAATCTTGACACAATGATATCGTCATGTGACTAGAAAGCCGCGTCCCTTCTGCCAACTCGCACTCATTGAAATTTAGGGCACCGAGCTATTCTTTTTAACACAGAGTAAAATGAGGAAGGCGAGTCTTACCAACCCAATTTAAATACAAAATTTAGTACATAACAATTAAAGAAAAAAAAGAATGAAATAATAGATTTTCCTAATATAGACTAGTATAAATTATAAAGGGAATTCATTGTTATTTCTTCATATGATTGAGATTTGATGCTCTGTCTAGTTCTATTTGTTTGTATTATTTTTCTTTATAATTTGTTTGAAAATGAATATTCTTTTAGAAATTTTTAATTCTAACTTTTCATATGATCACACATTTAAAATCAAATAATTTGATATACATTTTATTTTATAATTGGGAAAATGGACAAATATACCCCCAAACTTTCGAAAATGGTATGTCAGTATCCTCCGTCATACTTTTCGTCCATCAGAGCCCCTGTCATTCAATAATCAGTGCACATTTGCCCCTCCCACTAACGGAAGAATAATTAGTGATATGTGGCGCAATCCTACGGCTCAATCCGGTTTAACCCATTTTTATGCAAGTAACAGTAGGTTTACATGAAATTTTTCATGGAATTCTGTGGCGAATATGAGTAATTTATATGAGTAATAAGTTAGTATTTGTGTGGGTAATGGGGGTATTGGGTGGGTTAAACGTGTCATTGGGCGGGTATTTAAATTTTGGATTTATTAATTGGTCAAATCGAGTTGAGCCGTAGGATTACGCCACGTGTCACTAATTATTCTTCCGTTAGTGGGAGGGGCAAATGTGCACTGATTATTGGACGGCAGGGGCTCTGATGGACGAAAAATATGACGAAAGGTATTGACATACCATTTTCGAAAATTCGGGGGTATATTTGTCCCTTTTCCCTTTACAATTTGATATACATATTTTTAAGGGAAAAAGGACAAATATACCCCTCGAACTATTGTAAATGGTATGCAGATATCCTCCGTCATACTTTTGGGACATTGGTGCCCCTGCCGTCCAAGAACTAAGACATATATGCCCTTCACTCTAACAGAAGACTAAATAGGGACACATGGCTCAATCTTATCCATTGATCTGATATTTAATAAATGTCGGATTGGTAGATAAGATTATGACACGTGTATGTCTGTTAGTATAAAGGGTATATATGCTCTAGTTTTTGGACGGCAGAGGCACCAATGTCTCAAAAGTATGACGAAGGATATCTACATACTATTTACGATAGTTCGAGAGTATACTTATCCTTTTTCTCAATTTTTAATTAAGATCACAAGATTCAAACTTCATTTATTTTTGAACCTCTATATCATGTTAATATCATATAACTTGAAAAAAGAGGGACCACAATTTATTTGAGAATATATGGACATCTAGGAAATGAAATTATTATATTAAAAAAAAGGTCAAACCAAAAAGTGTTATGTGACATTTTCCAAAACCCAATTGGGACAGGTTCCAAATATTTATTTATTTATCACACTACAAATATAATAAGATTAGTTTAAATCTAGGTTATATAAAATTCCATTTGTCTATATTCTTGTCTATTCAAGATATATATTGGCATGTTGCATTATTTTCAAATAAGTGAATATTCAATGGGCAACTATCACCTAGCCATGTTAGCAATTGTAGCCACATTTGCAAGTTGCCAATTGTGCCTATTTTATTATTTCCTTTTTGTAATAAAGAATTATTCAAGGATCAATATCAATATTATTCAAAATTCAAATCATAATAAGTTTCCTGTTTACTTTTCCTACTTAAATATGTTTTCATCAAAGTCTTACAATTAATTAGTCTGTATATAAACAAAATATAAACCTTGTATAATCAGCCGGGTAACACAATATTCCAATTAAATTGGATACATATATCGTAAAGTACATCTAAGTAAATAATTCTGTGAATGAATGGATCAATTCGATTTTCATATATGTCGAATCAATGGGGTTGGGTGTTTATAGTGACTTAGCAAAGGGGAAAGCCTTCAGACAAAAAATTGATATGGCTCGTAACCGAGATTTCTTGTTAAGGTTGAATGAATTATTCATCTGTCACATCCCTTTTGGCTGCTAGCTTTTGTATATTAAATTGTACTTCTTTGTCCATAGGTCCTAATATTTGGTACAAAGTAAAATGTTTTCTTGAAAAATAAGTTGGTTTCTAACTTATTTTCTCAGGTTTGTTTTGTGAGTGAAAAATGTTTTCTAGTGTTTGATTGATGAATAAAAAATATTTTCTAGAAAATATATTTTATCTTTTGCTAGAGAGTAGAAAATATCTGAATTGGGACTCCACCTAATATCCGACTCGGGACTCGATCTGACACCCAATGTGGGACCCGACCCTAATTCCTGACGTAGGATCCGACCTTGACTTTCAATTCGGGACTCGATATCGACAACCAATGTGGGACCCAACCCCGACCACGACTCTCGATTCAAAATTTGTCTTTGAATCGAGATTCAACCCTGACATCCAACCTGGGACGCGACCCTATCTCTCGATCTGGAACTTGACTTCCAAACCGAGACTTGACCTCGACATCCAATTTGCGACTCGACTTCTGAATTGGATCTGACCCGAACACCCGGCCTCGACCCCGCGATTTATTCGGGATCCAAACCTGACATCTAACTTAGAACCCGACCTTCACTCTTGATTCAAAACTCGACTCCAACATCCGACTCGAAAACCCAACCTCACACTTGACTCGAGACCAAATCTGGGATCTAACTTCAAATCCTGAGTCGGGACCCAACACTCAAAACAAGATCCGATTTGATTCGGGAATCGGGAGTTGTGTCTCTAGTCGAGGTCGAAAGTCGGGTCCCGAATCGAGAATTAGGAGTTCAATCTCGAATTAGTCTTGGAAATTGATACTCAAAACTTGAGTTAGGGTGAAAAGTTGAGTTATGAGGTTGAAAAATATTTTTTTTTTTGTTTTTGTTTTGAAGTAAGTCATTTTCCTTAAATTTGAGGAAAATAAGTTGATTTGAAAAACATTTAAGCAATAAAAAATAAGAAAATTGGAAAACATTTTGTGAGCATGAGGTGTTATTGTGCAACTTGATTTCTCTAGTCAACTTTAAAAGGTTTAAACTTGTACAATTCTTCTTCTTTTTTTCCCCTCAAGAATGGCTGCTACATTTTCTTTCTTCTTTGTGACAATCTTGATCTTGGTTTTCCCCATTGTCGAAGGTCGAATTCTTGAACATGAAGGTTCAGAAATTAGTAGTGAAAGGATCTCAGATGGAGTTGAACACAAACTCAAGAATCAGTCAAATTATCTAAGTCTAGGCAACTTGAAGGAACTTCCTTCAGGGGATCAATGTAATCATATATATGGTTTTTTTCCATGTGCAGAGAATATTGGAGGGTACTTATTCATGATTGTCACATTTCAGTACTTGTTGATTCTTGGTGAGAAAGTATTGGCCATTGGAAGCAACAGGCTCTTTAGTATCCTTGACACTGGTATTTTTGGTGCAAGTATCTTTCCCACACTTATAACTTGGCCAAGAATTGTTATGGCCTTTGGTAGTACTCATCTAATACTCAATTACCTTTTTAATAATCTTGGTGTCCGGGCCACAGGGTACCAGGTCCATCAAAACTCGGACATATGACAAAAAATCACCTAGTTTTTTTTTTTTTGCTTAACCATTTATTCATACAATTTATGTTATATATTATTATCCTATTTTTGTTCTTTTGCTCAATATCTCCTCAGTTAGTCCTTGCATACCCTTATCATTAGTAAATCATTTCGTATTTAGCCTTACCTCTAACATTATTCTAACATGAAATGGTTAGACTTCACGTGCCTAATTTCTATCCCTCAATCTTTTTACTATGGTTATATATTACGCTTAGATTAGAGCTCCATTAGCGGTGAAAAGTGAAAATGAGAATTTAACCTAACGTCTCGGATAAAATTAGACCAAAAGTTTAAAGTAAGACAGAGTTGCTCAACTAACATAATAATGCTGTCAATGCAGAGAACATAAGCTCTTATTCATATACTGTCATCAAACAATCCTTTGTATGAAAATTCTAACTAGCCTTTGGTTTTTGCAGCATCTGGACTATTGGTTACTAGAGAGAAAGCTCAAGTATCAGTATCTTCTGCACTTGGTTCCAATGTTGGTTCTAGTGTCTTGAATCTTACTGTACTCTGGGGCATATGTGTTATACTTGGCAGACAAAATACCTCAACAAATTCAAATAGTGCAGAATCCTCCACTTCTACTTTGAAGTTGGAGGACTTGAAGGGTATGTTCATTTACCTTGAACTTAGGAAAAACAAAGATTTGAGAATCACAACTTTTTTTTTGGTACTTACAGGTAGAGGAGTCGTAACAAACAATCTTACTGGTTATATAGCTGGAATCATGTTTCTCTCACTTGCACCATTCACAATAATGCTATTCAGCGATATCATAAGTTCATCTGTAGGAAAGCGCATCACCATTCTTGTTGCTCTTATTGTATCAGTCACATTTTTGCTGTCATATTTCACTTACCAGGTGATCAACAAACATCTTGATTCACCTACTAGCTTTGATGTTACATTTCTGTCATGTTAAAGTTTGTGTTTCTGATATGTGTAGATGTGGAATCCATTGATTCAACAAAAGAGTTTAGAGTACATAAAACACCAAAATCTGGTGCAAGTATTTGTGCAGCATATCCAAAGGCAAGCAAGAGGAAATCTCTTTAAAGGGGGTCATCCTGACATTAACGCGCTTAAAAGGTAGTAAGATTTTTCGACATCCTTATAATGTGTTAAATTATCCACTCTTACTCTTAAGTGATCTGCATATACAATGAAGACTTACAAGTTAATACTACTATGATTCATTTAAAGTAGAAGCATTTTGATGCCAAGTTAAGCAAGGAAGTCAAGATAATTACATTTTGCAGATTATTTGCCAAAACAGACAGAGATAGGAGCCATTCAATAACAGTCACTGAACTAGAAGAACTGGTAAAACAGCTTGAATCTGGAAAGGTTAAAGTGGACAGTGACTTTGCCCTGTCAACACTGTCAAGAATATTCGATCAAAACAGAGATGGAAGGATAAATGAAGAAGAGTTCATTGAGGGATCCAAGAAGTTGATACAGGAAGCTAAGGACGATTCCACCTCGAAGAAATTTCTTGATGAGGCAAATTTTCTCCTCCTTTTGCTCTTTGTCACTAATATAGACTCTAGGGGCTGGTTTTGTAACCTAAAAGATCACCTTTACTTGGCCAAATTAGAAGAATGTTGATAGAAAGAAGCTGGAATATGATCATGATTAGTTTGAGCAAGTAAAATGATTTACTTTGCAACTGCATATATATGCAGGTAGTTAAGGCATACACAGAGGGACAAAAAAAAGATATAGTTAAGATTGAGGAGCTCATACCACGAGCTTTGAAGCAAATTCAGAACCAAACAATTGAATCCGAAGGCCTTCGAAATGATGATGGTAGCCCCAACATCGAATCCATTAAAAGGTATACAATATTCATTCTCTCAAGTTTTGAACCATATTTTCAAAGAACTCAGAATCTTGATCTGTACATCTCAGCTGAAGTCTGTCCCAAATGAGAGTTTTTCACAGGTTCCTAAGGATCAATATCTCACTAATCTTTATCATCTGATTGTGTTACAGGCTCTTCCATAAGTTAGATGATGATCATAACAGTTATTTAATACCGTCAGAACTGGAGAAGCTAACGGAAAATGTCAAATTCAGACAGGCACGCCTGAATCACAAAACCTCTGTAAAGGAAATCATGAAGGACTTTGATCAAAATGATGATCACATGATCGATGAAAATGAGTTTCTCCGTGGTGTGACATATTGGCTTCGTAATGCCAAACAAACTACCAAAGAACATCATGATAAGGTAAAATATATTCTAGCTAAATACTCCTTTATGGTATGTAATATATGTACTAGTAGAGGCAGAGTTTAGATTTTGAGTTTATGGGTTCTGAATTACAGAAAAGAAAAAAACAACTTACTGGTTCTGGATAAATTAAGCTATTGAGTTCTGCCAACCCTATTAGCAGAACTGTTGCCCATCGTTGTACTAGTTATTTTGACAGGTATGGATGGTTTGTTGGAATTTATTTTCTACAGGTGATGTGGGGAGAAGTTGAAAAGTTCTTGGATGAAGCAGAAAGAGGAAACCATAGATGTTTCAACCACTCTTTGGTGTTAAAATGGGACATCTGCAAGTCTGTGTTGCAAGTGATTTTGGGCATTGCTATATTGACACTGTGTGCAGATCCAATCATGGATAACATTATACAACTGGCGAGTGCAATTGGCGTGCCTTCTTTCTTCCTATCATTTGTCATAGTACCTTTGGCTATCAATGCAAGAACTGCAATAACAGCAATAACTTTACTATCCTCAGCAAATCAGCAGAGTTGCACAACTTCTTCTTTGACATTTTCCGAGGTCTGCATATCTTTTCTCGCGAAAGTACTTACGTTCTTTCTTTGTAATTTTGTCTTAAGACTCTTGACAACTCTGTTCTTCAATTTGTTTTACAAGCAGATCTATGTGGGGGTGATCATGAACAACATTATGGGGATGTCAACTGTGTTAACTGTATTATATGCCAAAGACTTGAGATGGGAGTACTCACCTGAAGTGTTGGTATCTATGGTGATATGTGCTGTAAATGGCTCTTTTGCATTCACCCGTACCACTTATCCACTTTGGACTTGTATTGTAGCTTTCTTGTTTTATCCTATAGCACTTGCACTACTTTATATTTTACAATAGTTACAATCTAATTATTCTTGTAATTAAAATCCTCTATTCTACTCATTTATAGCTGCATATGTATGGTGGTGCTGTTACTGCTTTACACTAATTACTATAATTTGGATTCATCAATCTCAGATTCTTTTATGCTTTTTTAGTTTTTGTAATTTTTTAAGTTCTCTTTCTTTCAGCTTTTGTCCAAGCTAACTCATAAGAACAGCAACAAGTGAGCAAAGGAGAACAAACTAATGCAGCTATCTCTAGTTAGTATTACCAAAAGAAGAGAAGAAAGAGTAAAAAAATGTGACATGTTATTCAATTGTTTGCAATATATAAGCAAGGGAATGAACAAAGATTCTTGAATTTATCATGCTTTTATTAATGTTGGATAAATCTTGCACCTGTGTTATAACCATCATCCACCTAGCAATGGACAGTCGATTATATGGAGATTGGCATTGTGGCTGTAGATTCCTTGAGGTATCGATGCCAAAACAGGACAGTCCTCTATATACAGTCTCTGAAGTGAGGAGCAATTGGGCAGCCACTCTGGAAGCTCCATCAGGTTGGGACAATCGGCGATTCTGAAGTACTTTAATGTTGTAGGAGCAGTATCTTTAAGTTCCAATGGTAGAGTCACCAACTTAGGAAGCCCCATTAGAAGCAAGGATTGAAGACTTGTTAGGCCTGACATTCCTTCTCCATCTATCAAATCAAGTTCTTCACAGTTCCAGATCCATAGCTTTTCAAGTGAAGTCAGATATCTAATACTGCTTGGAAGAGAACATAAACTTGGGCATTCATAGATACGCAAAACCCGAAGTGCAGTAAAATGCTGCACCAGTTCTGGCTGCAATTTTGGGAAACAACATTTGAAAAGAAGCAAAAATTGAAGAGAAGTGAAAGAATGTTGATTCTTGATCCCTTCTGATATCTGATGTGTAGTCAAATACAAGGTCTTTAGGCTGATTAACTTTCTAAAGTCTCTTGGCAACTCCTTAAGCTGTTCACAGTTAATGAGGTTTAGGGTGTGCAGATTTACTAATTTGCTCATAGACCTTGGAAGAAACTTGATATTACCACTGTTGCTAAGGTTAAGGTATCTTAATTCCTTCAAGTGACCTATCGAAGTTGGCAACTCCTCAAGATCTAGATTGTTCAAGACTAACATCCGAAGGCATTTGAAATTTGACAACATTGTCTTGACAAAGAACTTGTTTACAGGTCCAATGTTAAAAGAATAAGAGAAAGACCTCAACTTTTGCAAAGGAAGCAAAAATCTGGGGAAGTGTTTCCTAGACATATCTTCTGCATGGAAGAATAAGTGGCGAACTCTTTCAGAAACCACGAAAGCATTGGGTTTCACATTTAAGCATTCTGCACCTGCTACTGACTGTGCAAGATCATGCACAAGATTGTGTATCTTACAAGCCAATATTTCTCCATCAAAAGCTTGTACCACATCTAGGAAGCAAAACCTTGATAGCAACTCATCAAAGTACTGATTACCTATATCTTCCAGCTTCCTGTTTCTGTTTGAACTCTGTATAAATCCTTGAGCAATCCACCGATTGATAAAATCCTCCCTCGGAATTTCTTGACCTTTGGATAACATGGAGCAATAGGCAAAGCACTGTCTTAGATGTGATGGCATCTGTTCATAGCTCAATCTCAATATTGGTAAAATGTCAGATTTATTCTGTTCGATTTCCCATATCTCATTATCTCTTATTTGCAACCATTCATTCTCGTCTGTTTTCATGTACAATAACCTTCCCAAGGTTTTCACAGCCAAAGGCACTCCTCCACACTTTTTCACAATTTCTTTTCCTATTTCTACTAGATTAGGAAACAAATTGTCCTGCCCTCCAAATGCACATTTCAAAAATAAAGATAAGCAGTCATCATCAGCAAGGCCTTCCAAATAATAAGGCGGAACTGTTCCAGTAATCAAAGCAGCCATCTTACTACGTGTAGTGACAACAATTTTACTACCTCTGGAACAATTCATCAGCAACTCCCTCAGATCTGTCCACTTGTGTTGATCTTCATTCCACACATCATCCAGCACAAGTAAATACCTTTTCTGTTGCAAAACCTCTCCCAAACAACCTTGTAATTGGTCCATATCTAGGTGGTCAAAACTCTCTCCCGTTGCAGACCTCAGAATTTTCTCAATTACCTTGCTCAGACTAAAATCTTCTGAAATACTAACCCACATTCTAAGGTCAAAATTCTGAACAACCCTATTATTGTTATAAACCAACTTAACAAGTGTGGTTTTTCCAAGCCCTCCAAGTCCAACAATAGGAATCACAGAAATATTTTCCTCATCATGAGAATCTATCAGCTGTTTTACAATGTTTTCTTGATCATCATCTCTACCAATGATATCTGATGCCCTCACAAAGGAGTGTGTTTGTTCTCTACTCGTATTCTCAGCTGGAATTACATACGTATGTTCCGTGAAGTGGAAATTTCTCCTATCATCTGCAATCTCATTCAGTAGCTCCCTGATTTCTTTTACCTTTCTGCCAATCTTGAATCGATATATAATTGGATTTGAACTTGAAAAGAATTTTCTTACCTTCTTCCTAAAGCTTTTCTGGAAATGCATTTGCAGCAACAGTTGTGTTGATAAATCATCCATCAAATCATCGACATCATAAACAACATCTCTGAGCTTTTCCAGCCAATCTCTCACTTCATGGTTCTTTGCCTGTTGCTCGTTTGCATCTAGAAGTACAGCTTTGATGGTGGATAGAGTACTTTGGAGTTTCCTTAGCTCTATCTTAACATTCCAAGCTAGAGTGATCTCATATACAGCAATTGAAGAAACTTTAGCCAAAACTCGTTCAATGATATTTGTGAGAAATATATGGGAAAAATAATATTGAATTGTGTATCTAAATTGTTACATTGAGACCCTATTTATAGACAATACATATACATTGAAACCCTTTTCTAACTAGGATTCCTATTCCTATTCTTCTTCCTATTCTAAGTAGGAATATATACATATTTCTATTCTAACACTCCCCCTCAAGCTGGTGCATACAAATCATATGTACCTAGCTTGTTACAGATGTAATTAATACGAAGACTTGTGAGGGACTTGGTGAAGATATCTGCAAGTTGATCATTTGACTTCACAAATTTCGTAACAATA